CCCTGTGTTGGCTCCATATGCACTTGTGTACATAGACGGGCCCGCTGCATTAATCCTATATTGTGTGTGGATATTTGCATGAAGGGGCACAGAGCTGTTATCAACGTGGGACACTGAGGTGAACTCACTCACACCATCACACTAACTATAAAGAGCTGTTGTCCTAGTTTTGTAACATATGGCTCATGCATTCATAATGTGATCATACATGTATGTAGGCATGCTTTGTCCACAGCTTCTGCATGTATTTCCTGTTTGGTACACAGTTCTTTTTCAGCTGTTGTAACTTATAGCGATGGTAATTACAGTCGTTAGCTCTCCTCTGTATTGTTCTCCGAGAGGATGGATGAGGAGACGTGTGGGTGGCAGTGAAGGGTGAGGGGAGGGGAGGCAAGGACAGCGAGCAAACAGCACTGCTGAGTAGGAGAAGTACAATGGGCTGTGAGTCAGAGGAGAAAGAGGAGCGAGAAAAAGAGATAGGTATGCTGAGAAAAGGTCAGTGTGTGTGGAGGTTTTTTTTTTAAATGCCAGAAGATTGAGAAAGCTCAGGAATGTTGTGCTCATGCTATCTCTCTGTTTTATGGCTTTAATGTTCATATCTGGCGAGGTAGGACTCGAGCAGGTGACTCACGATGCACAGAGGGAGAGAGGGTGGGGGCGCCACTCAACCGAGGCTCAACATGAAAATGTATTAAATGACATACAGCTATGAATTTCTCTACTAGAATATATTTAAATAACTTCTGTTTGACACATTTTAGTGCAAAGTGTTTCTCTTCACAGTTTTCTTCAACTCTTTCACCTCTTGTCGCTCCTCCTTCACCGTTCATTGATTTCTTTTGCCAAACCACCATTCCTGACTCCCAATGTTGTTATCCCCATTGTCTGTAACTAAATTATCTGAATTATATGCTACACTACTTTGTACACCCACCATCTAAACAGACACCACAGTCATCCAAGCAATTCAGATATGCAGCTCGGACTTCTTTTGTGTTTTGCTCTCAGTCCTCATACTGCATTTGACCAAACACAAACACATTCTGGATCAGAGTGGTACTAACACAAGACTGTTCAATACCGCAGTCCTGGTCTAAGTCCACCCTGATTAGATACTATCCTACATTTGCCTTTATCAAGAGCTTTACTGATGTATTTGCATTCATTTCTGTGGTCCTTGTTACTCTATAGTATAGTACTCTATAGGAGGGATAAATGGTTAGTTAATGTAATTAACAATGCATATAGTAGTGTTTTCATTTTTTGAGCTAATCAGAGTTATTTTCCTCTGGTCTAATGAAATGGAGATGAATGGGATTTCCTTTGTGGTGCTCACAGTATTGGAAAATAACATTTAAACATTCAACAGCAATAGAGTCCCAGTTACTCTGGATAATGCATGGACCCCGTTGTGGACAATTTTCACTGGAAGTATTGTTGTTGGTATTTTAAAAACAAAACAAAACCAAAGACATATCCCTATAAAAACTTGTTTTCGATGTTATAAGCACTGCAGGTGTAATTCCATTCACCCTCTTTGTACTGGAGCAGAAGCAGAAATATCAGAAACAAATATCTTGTCTCTTATCTTTTTCTTTGGTTTTGTAATTTTGGTGAAATTACTTTTTAACAGTCTTAAACAAGTAAAAAATAACTTTACTCTTAGATTGAGACAAATGAAATACTGTAAATCAGAGGACTGTGTACAAGAAAAACAAAACAAAAACAAGTACATTTCCTTGAAAAGACGAATCTTAACTTAAAGTATATTCGAAACCCTCAATAGATCATATATCTAAAATAAGATTTCACATCTTAACACTTGCAGAAAAGAGCTGCTGAGATGTCTTTCCAACAAGGACACAGTTTAATGCAAATGCACACAACAGCAGTGAACACTTTAGGTTAAACCCTGCAGGTTAAGCAGCTTAAATACAAAAGAATGGAGGCTAAGGCAGTAATCCTTGGCACTTGGTATAACAAGATATTCTTTTCTTGCAGTAATGTACACTACATTTAGGCTATATTAGTTTTTTTAACAAGAATCTGGATCAGAATCTTTTTGACTTGAATGTTTATTCACGATTCACATCTTTTCTTGGTATTCTCTTTAGACTGAACTTAATGAACCTTGTGACTGTATCAGTGGAGCAGAGCTGTCTTAAAGAGGAAACCAATCTGCAGGGAACGCTGGACTGCATTTTCATTTAAGATCTATTCATAGAGGGTCAGCTAGCTAGTTATACCTGCAGTAGATAGCTGGGAACTAAACCACTAAGATATGTAGACTAGATACCTTTGTTTGTATTTTTTTAGGTAGGACTGTTGCCAGAGTTTTTTTCCTCTCTATGTCTTTTTCACATGAAACATAACTAGAAAAACTGGTTCATCTGCTCCAACCGCTTGTTAATTCTGCTTTCAGAGCCGCTCATCCCTCCATCAACTGTTTGCTTTAACTAAAAACTGAATAAGTGACTGTGTAGAAAATAATCCCATCCAATACATCTCACCACCATACTCCACAAGCAACACCACATCAGTTACTTACCTGTTTTATGAATATATTGTTAGAACGAGTATAAACACAACAAGGCTGTAAAGGCGGACTAGTAAGTGTTTGGCATGCTGATGTTTAATGTCACCGACAACCTCTGTAGTCTGTATTATTTTTCTCAGGCTCGTAAAAACCTAAGAAATACATGGGTGGGGTATTTAGTTTTCTTCAGTTTGTGTTAACCACAAGCCCCATTTCAGACATCTAACCAAAAATAAAAGAGTTGAGAAGATACCAATGATTGCTCCTTTTTCTACCATTTCCTACCATTTTCGCATGTCTTCCCTTTATTCGTTCATCCATGAAGAGATGTATTTTTTTTTGCCTCCTCACAAAGAGCCAGGGTCAGGATCAGTAGAACAGT